TTAGAAAAAAGAGATAGTCAAGATTAAAAGTGCGAAAAAAGAAAAAAAGAAAAAGAAAAAGAATTGACTTCTGACCCTCCTTACAAGATATAAGTAACAATATACATCAAACTCTTACTCTAAGATTACAACATAACTTCCATTATTTCTGTTAACCTATATTATTTCTAATCATCAAATCCATACAACGTAATTTCATTTTTTTCTGTTTCTGCAAAAAGGCCAAAAAAGGTTTCCAGTTAGCATTAAAATTATACAATATCTTGTCTCGAATTAAAGCTGTCTGTTTCACCATCTCAGCCAACTCCATCAGCTTCACCATCCATTCTTCCATTGTAAGTAATATCTTTCCACCTCTGTGCATATAAAAGACTTGCTGCTGCTATCATATATAAAAACAAAGTTCCATAGGTTTTTTTCAACAGTTTGTCCATCAAACCCAAAAGGAAAGTCTCTGGTTTTGATTGTATGTTAACCTTTAAAATCTTCTGTATTAAAATATGTATCTGGTTCCAATTTTTTTTGCATATTTCCATTTTTTTGCATATTGATGAGTCCATCAGAGATGATAAAATATCCCTTCTTGTTGTTCACATTTCCAACATACATTTGAAGTACCTTTGTACATTTTAGATAATTTTTCTGGTGATAAATACCAACGATACATCATTTTATAAAAGTTCTCTTTAAGAATACAATGCAATCTAAATTTCAATCCTTTCTGCCACATCTTTTCCCATTGTTCCATCTGTATGTTATACCCGAAGTTTTTACCCTATTTTATCATACAATCCTTAAGTTGTTCATCTTCTGTCTCTAATTTCCATAAAAGTTTTTACATCTTTGCAATAACTTGTTCATCATTAGTACATAATTCAGCTTTGAATTCCATCCTGCTGTGTTCAAAACGTAAGTCCTTTTATTTATTTTGAATCTTTCTTGTAGATCAGGGGTGTCAAACTCAATTGCACAGGGGGCCAAAATCCAAAACACACTTTAGGTCGCGGGCCGAACAGGATAAACATTTATTGAACACACTAAAACTAAACTTTTAAAACTTTAAAACTTTAAAACTTTAAAAC